TACACACAAAAGTATAGAAGATTAGTAACTCAAGAACAGCCATCGATATGATAAAGATAATCCGTTTGTGATAAAACTGGCTTATTCTAGGAATCCAAAGATGTTTCTGGAAAATCCAAAAATGTAAGTTATCATACTAACAGATTAAAAGAGAAAAATATCTTATGATCATCCCATTAGATGGAGAAAATAAAACTCATAAAATTGAACATCCATTTATAATGAAAACATGTAACACAATACAAATAACAGTTTTCTTAACCCAGTAAAATTCTTCAGCAGTCACTAATCTTACCAGTAATAAGGTATTTAGAGTGTTCTATTTAAAATCAAGATAAAGATAAATGTGCTTTTTCACATTTTATTAAAGTCCAAACTAGCCTAGTAATGCAAGAAAAGTAAATAATAGGAAAAGGAAAGGAACAGAAAGAAGGAAAATTTATTATGGTATCAATATTTACCTAGAAAGAATAAAATTATTGATAAATTATTAGGAATTAGAAGAATTCAATACCATGGCTAGATTTAAGTTTAATATTCAAAAATCAGTTGCATTTCTATTCTTTGGCAACAAACAGAAAATATATTTTTTAAAACTATGCCTTATGTATTAGGAAGAAAAATGCATATGATCTGAATGAAACTAACAAAATACATATAGTATTTGTATGGAAATTTATTTTAAAAATTCTAAGACATAAATAGAAAAATAAAACATATTTATGTGTGTGAAGGTTCATGTAATGCAGTTCTCCCCAGTTGATGTTCAGATTCAAAGCAATTTCAGCCAGATTGTCTTGCAGGTCACTTTTCACTAAATGATGCTGGAATAGTCTATCCATATGAGAAAAACCATATATTATACACAAATATCAGTTCAAGCCCTAGCCGTTTTGAATGTTCCTAAGCTGGATGTCTTTTTGACATGTCTTTATAAATTTATAATGCTCCAGGCTTGTCTTGATTTTCCTTGTGCTAGCCTTGGAATCAGCCATTTTTTCCAAGGAGCCCTGGTTCCTTTTAGGGGAGAATGGTATTTGGAAACCAAGACCTGAGTGGTATGTGCACTCATTACTACCAGTGTGTCCTTGTTTCTAGGCCCTTTCACTGCACATATGTGCACGTGTGTGTGTATGAAATCATGATTTCATAACTATAGCTCCAATCCCAGCCCAGTGCTATAGAAAGGCAGACTAGTTAGGTACCTCAGAACTCCCAGAAAAACACCACAGGCTGCCATCTCCTGAAACTCCATCCAGTGGCAGAAGACACTCAGAAAGAGGGTCCAGGGAAATGCTCTCCATCCTGTGGGTCTGGTATCTACTGTTCCCTCCAGGGAGGCTGCCCATGCAGGTAGCAGCAGCAGGGATCTAATAGGTGCCCTGCTCGGACTAGGCAGCCCAGGAAAGAGCCCTCTGCCCTCTGCCCTCTGCCGACCCCCTACCCCACAATCCTGATGTCTGTACCTTCCACCTCATGGCAACAGGACTTGGGAAGTACATTCTTCCTGCGTCGGCAGCATTATTTGGGGCGGAGACAGAGTACCAGGGCACCAGATGAATCAAGCTGACCAGAATAGCACTAGCACTGCAAAGGCTCTGAACACTAAACGTCATTGTAACTATAGCACACAGAAGTAGGCCAGGACTTGCGTGATAAACCTAAAAACAAAGTGACTCTCTGCTGAAACAAATTTAAAATAGGATCCACAGTCTCTAACATAATATAAAAAATGTACTAGACACAATAGAAAAACCACTTATCATAGCAAGAATGGAGAAAATAGCAAACTTGAATGAGAAAAGACAATCAACAGATGTCAACACTGAGATGAATAGGATGTGGGGATTATTTGACAAAGGTTTTAAAGCAGTCTCATAAAAACACTTCAGTGAGCAGTTTTAAATACTCTGGAAAGGAATGAAAAGGCTATAAAATCTCACTAAAGAATTGTTGTGTTTTTTTTTTTAAAGAACAACTTGGTGATTATAGAACTGAAAAATACAATAACTGAAATTAAAATTCAGTAAATGGACTTGGTAGTGGAGTGAATTTTACAGAGGAAGCAATCAGTGCTCTTGAAGATAGAACAATAGAAATCTCCCAATGTAAATTGAGAGAAAATCACAGGAAAAAGGACAGAGCCTCCGGGACCTATGGTGTAGTAACAAAAGATCTAATATTTGTATCATCAAAATTCCAAAGGAATGGAAAAAGAGAGTGGGGCTGAATAGTATTTTTACAGGTAATTGCTAAAAACTCCCCAAATTTGGTGAAAGACACACCTGCAGAGTGAAGACACTGAGCGATTCCCAAGTAAGACAAACCCAGAGAAATCCATGCCAAGATACACTATAAGTTAACTTTTAAAACTAAAAGAAAAAAAATCTTGAAAGCAGGTATGGAGAAATGACACATCACCTACAGGGCAAAACTGACTTGAATTGTAGCAGACTTCTCATGTGAAACTAAGGAGGCCAGAAGGTTGTGGCAGAACATTTGTCAAGGTGAATTACATATCCAGTGGATGTTTCCTTTAGGAATGAAGGGGAAATAGACATTCTCCAATCAAGGAAAATTAAGATAATTTGTGGCTAGCAGAGAACCTTAAAGAATGGTTAATTGAAATTCTTTTGTCAGGTTTGTTGAAGATCAGATGGTTGTAGATACGTGGTTTTATTTGTGAGTTCTCTTTTCTGTTCCTTTGGTCTATGTGCCTGTTTTTGTACCAGGACCATGCTGTTTTGGTTATTGTAGCCTTGCAATATAGTTTGAAGTCCGGTAGCCTGAGGCCTCCAGCTTTGTTCTTTTTGCTTAGGATTGTCTTGGCTATATGAGCTCTTTTTTGATAGTGTGGAATCAACCCAAATTGCCCATGAATGACAGATTGGCTAAAGAAAATGTGGTACATATATACCATGGAATATTATGCAGTCATAAGAAGAAATGAGATCATGTCCTTGGCAGGGACATGGATGGTGCTGGAAGCCATTATCTTCAGCAAACTAATGCAGGAAAACAAAACCAAACACTGCATGTTCTCACTTATAAGTGGGAGCTGAACAATGAGAACACATGGACACAGGGAGGGGAACAACACACACTGGGGCTTGTCAGGGGAGGGTAGTGGGAGGGAGAGCATCAGGAAAAATAGCTAATGCATGGTGGGCTTAATACCTAGGTAATGGGTTGATAGGTGCAGCAAACCACCATGGCACATGTTTAGCTATGTAACAAACATGCACATCCTGCACATGTACCCCTGAAATTAAAACTTAAAAAGTTCTGAAAACAAAAAGGAAATGAAAGAAGGAATCCTAGAATATAGGGAAGAAATATAAAACAGCAAAATAGATACACAGAGGGGTAGATATAATAGACTATTCTTCTCATGAGTATTTCCTTTCGTGTACTTTTTTCGCTTTATTTTATTCTTTATTTAGATTTTTAAGTCAAGGATTTAATTCATTTATTTTCACTCTTTCA